CAGAGACGGAACAGCAGCGCACAAGTGGCATGCAAGTGGAGCATGAGTTGCTGCAGGCTGTGGCTAAAACTCTTTTAAGAACTGTTCCTCCTGTTCTCTGTGTCACGTACCTGATTGGAGACTGAAATGACAAGATCGGCCTCACTTGTTTCACTAGCCCTGACCCCACTGGAAGTAGAACAGAGGGTGTCTAGGGACCAGGGGGACAAGAGCGCCAGCAGATGTTGTTTGCAGCTCTTGCAGTTGGAGACTTTGGAAGACTGATGAACCTTCTATTCAGGCACCGTAGTAATATGCAGGGCTGGTATGGTAGATCACCAGGTGTGCACCAGAACAAGGCAGGAAGCAGGGATGGGAGACAGGAGCAGTGTCAAAGGAATAGCCAGGGTCATCAACGGGGGCAGACAGCGAGGTACCAAATCATAAACAAGCCAAAGTCAGGAGCAAAGCCGAAGTCAGGAACCAGTAGAGGAATCAGAGTCAGGTCAGGAACAAGCCGGGTCAGCAACAAGGAAAGCACACAGGAATGAGCAGGAAACAGGGATCAGCTGAAGACCAGTCAGCACTCAGCACAGGCAGGAGCACCTTTTAAATAGTCTGTCTTGGGCCAATCTTCACCGTGCGTTTGCATGTGCGTGATCGTGCATTTCTGTGCACATGCGCACGTCTGTTCACCAGCCGTCTCATGGGAATTCCCTTACGCTCGGTATTTGCAGTCACTGTGTAGAAAGAGGATATTTGGACTGAAAGGTTTGAAGGCCTGGGAAGCCAGAGGGTCCCTCTCTATCTATCTATTAAATATAATATAAATTATAAATTTCTATGAAAATAAAAGGGGTCCTTTTTTTTTTTTCGGGACTATTAACAGAAGGAAAGAGGGCTGTTCTGGGGGCTGTACCTCTGAAACATAGGATCAGAGCTTAAAGACTTGTAGAGTCCCAGGAATGAAGAGTAGATCAGCCAAAGTGGGGGGGTCCTAAAACCCCCCAGTCAAGTGTAAACACCAACACCATAAAAAAAGTATTTGCCCCCACAGAAGAAAAGCCCTGAGACCCAAACCCAGGCGGACCGTTTTGAAAGATCAAAAAAATATGATGGAGATCAATCTAGATTTTCATTAGGGACATTAGAGGAGACGCACTATAAAGAACTTACAAATAGGGAAAGTGTTGGAGAACAAGTTATGGATCAGCATGGACTCATGTTGCAGACACTTCAAAAAAATGAGCTGGCGGAAATGTTTGCGAAATTAGAGCTATCTATGAAAAGGAGATTGGTTCACTTCGTACTGACCTGAGTCAGATATTAACTCGCATTGAAGAAATTGAGGTGAATGTGGAGGGACATGCACAACAAATTAATAAATTGGAACTGCAGATGAAGGAGATGTGGAAAGAACAGAGAACGTTTTTACTTTTGTTCCTGAATCCTTTGTAATGAGCTGTATTATAGACAGAGTTGTGTGGATATGACCACTGTACTCTGTAGAGTTTCTGTCTGTATATTTATATATACAATATATATATATATTATATACACACACAGAAGATTTTCTGTGGACCTAGGTTTTTTTTTTTTTTTTAAATAACTGTCCTGTGCTGACCAGACAAAAAGAGATGAACGTAAATTTTTTTGTGCTATATAAGATTGGAATTACTAATGATTGCTGTTTAATTTATGTGCATCATACTTCACTAAATAATCTGAAAATATTTTTTAGATCTGTAAGATAAAATGCTGCTTTTTGCATCTGGTATGTAACTTCTTTTTAGCGAAAAAAGAAAGAAGAATAAACAGAAACAGTATTCCTCATTAAATATATTACATCCTCAGTTTAAAACAAACAGTTTGCATTAATTTACATATATTTGAAATTTATCTTCCCATAAATTAGGACACATTAAATTGCACTGGGACCAAACATACCCATTATTTTTTTTTCTTATTTTATTTTTTTACTCTTGCTGGATCCCTGTTGAACATAATATTCCCTTTGCTTTCAGTTTTTGACACAAGCATTTATTTTATTTTAAGTAGAAATCTGGAGTGAGAACTCTTTCTGAAAAAGCTAACTGCCTGGCTGTCTTTGTTTTTCATGATTTGTGAATTACTGCCCTAGAACCAGCATGTAGCAAGTTAGTATGAAATCAGATATTTTTTCTTGGGATGAATACTCAAAGCTGATTTACTGAAGGAGTAGAAAATATTCACTTTACAAAGTTAAAGTCTACTTAGCTTACTGAATTAGATAAACCAGTCAAATATTCAGTCAAATACCCAACTGTACAAAAGGGAAATAAAAAATATATATTTTTTTCCCATAATGGGATGTCCATTGTAAAACCAGCTTCACTTTGTACACTAAATGAAAGAGTAACTCCATTTTTGTTGAGAAAAAAACATCACCCTTTGGGTGAACGTAAATGTACAATACAGAGATTTTAACACACTTTGTTGCAGAGCTCTACCTTCTGTTGTTCTACTAGCTGTTTGTTTGTCTGTCCATGTTAAATGTGATTGGGAGTGATTTCATAATTATCAATTGGCTGCTGCAATTGCAAGGTTCTAATGAGGAAGTCGAGAGGGGCTGTATAGACATGATTTCCCTTTTGGGGGCATCTCACCAAACATTACATTCTTGTTGCAGGGGATGGTCAAAATCTGACTCTCATCTTAGTGCAGACTTCTGGAAAAATCACTGAGCCAATCACACAATCAAGAAATTACATTTCTGGGAGAGGGGGAGTGGGGGGTTCCGTACACCACTTGTGTACAGAACACCTCCAGCTCCAGGTTGCCACATTGCATTGCTTTTTACATAAATTTACACTGCAGATTGAGAAGGAAATGTAATTTTAAATAACATTACATTGAAATATGTCTTTGTGTCACAATTGTATATCCATTTTTTTTTTATTTGCAATATATTTTTCCACAACAGCACAAAAGTAGAGTTGCCCTTTAAATGATCATTCACTTTGCAAAGTAACTTTCTCTGCTCCAGTAAATAAATAAATACTAATGTATTAAAATTTGGGAATCCAGATGACAGCTGAACAACTAGCATTTTCAAAAGGCAAGGACAACAAAAGCAAATTGTGGTAAAAGTAAAAACAAAAAGAAATCTAATGCAGCCATCACATCTAACAACTGGTAAGCTGCAATATATCACATTTTTAATTTTTAATTTAATACCGCTTTAAGATATGTGCTTACAAAGATAAGAACATAGAAACAAATTTAATACTATCATGCTACACATATGATGCAGAATTCTGCCTTGTACAACCTGACTCAATATTTAACTGCTCAGTAAGATTGTCCGTAAACTAAAGATGCCATATTGGAGCCAAACTTACAAGGTTACCCAAAGACATGAAAAGGACCAACATAATACATTGTGCTGAATCTGTAATTACTTAGTATACATGTTCCACCTTCAAGACAAATTAAAAAATTGTATTGTCTCTGAAAGACATTATTAATGAGCTTCTGTTAAAAGCCTGACTGATGAATCTTGTGCCTGTAAGAGTGAAGGTTTATAGGACAAGGCTAGCATGTCCCTCTGATTACTGGAAGCGATGTGACATTGAAGAGGTGAGCAAAGAAGTGGTAATACTATTCCATCTATAATTTTGTTTTAAATGTATTTTTCTAACTACAATTCAGAATGTATAAAATGCAGCTGGTCTAGTTTATAATAAGCTCTTTATATTTTTATTTTCTAAAAACTATTAAACAATGCTCTAGGAGACCAATAAAGCTTGAATTTGCATGCTGAATGCAATTATACAAAGCTAAAGAGCGTTTAAGCCCTGGTTCACACATATGCAATTTGTGATGCATGTAGAATGGCAGTGATTCATATGACAGGAGCAGTGGTGTATTTTGGTTTTGTTCTGCCCTAGGCAAGACTAAATTTGGGTGTCCCTCCCATCTAAATTTGCCCTACCCCTTCCCATTTAAGACCCACCCCTTCCGAACAGGACAGAAAGGGGGCAGTGGGACAGGAGGGGGGCAGCAGGATAGGAGTGGGGCAATGGGATAGGAGGGGACTAATGGGACAGGTGGCGGGCAGTGGGACAGAAGGGGGACAGGGGAACGGGGGACCATGGGATAGGTAGGGGGCAGTGGGACAGGAGGGGGGCAGCATGATGGTGGACCATGGGACAGGAGGGGGCAGCGGGACAGGAGTGACGCAATGGGACAGGAGGGGGGTAATGGGAAAGGTGTAGGGCAGTGGGATGGGGGGCAGCAGAACAGATGGGGCGAAACAGGAAAGGAGGTGGGCAGCTTGACAGGGGGCAGCGGGACAGGTGGGGGCAGCTGGACAGGCGGGGGCAGCGAAATGAGTGGGGGGAAGTGGGACGGAGGGGGGAAGTGGAACAAGTGGGGGTTACCAGTCCAAGCTCTTGCCTGTCCAGCAGTGGCTCCTCTAGATGGTATCAGGATCTGGTGCCAGGAGCAGTAGCTGAGCCTGTGTCCCATTTCCACTACGATCTGAGGGGAGGGTCCTCCCCTCCTGACCTCATCTTCTTCTTCCTCTTCCACAGGCCCTCCGCAGGCTTTTTGATTTTTTTTCTCATTTTGTCTCTCATAGTTGAGGTCTACCTATGATGCCAATTACAGGCCTCTCTCATCTTTTTAAGTGGGAGAACTTGCACAATTGGTGGCTGACTAAATACTTTTTTGCCCCACTGTAACTGGTGTGGTGTTGGTGATCAGGGACACTGACTGGTGATAGTATGTAAAAAATAATAATAAAAATAATAATTACATTTTTTTTCTAATTTTTCTATTATTTTTTATTACATTATTTTTTCTTTTTTTTACTATTTTTTTTTTCAACACATCTTGACCAAAGCAATACAATGTTACCATAGTAACATTGAACTACTCTGGGCAAGTGATACGGATTTTGTTTGTGCACATTTTGATTGGTAATACCAATGTATTTAATTTATATTTTCAATCATTGTTACTGAATGAAACTGATTCATTCAATCTTTTGTTGTGATAAACTATGATTGGGCAAAGCTCATCACATGATACAGATGGGCTGTGATTGGCTCTGTCTGTACCATATGACTGCTTTGATCAATCACAGCTAACAACACAATTGTACACAATGGATTGCATGACAGGAAGCAATCCATTGTATAAAATTGTCATTTGATCTGCTGTGGTTGATCACAGTGGTCACATTACACTGGCAACGGGCCGGTGTAGTGATATGTCATCGGTTGTGTCCCGTGGACACAGCCGCTGGCAGATTGCGCTGCTGTGTGGCCCTTCACCCCTAGGCTCCTTACCTGGCCCCCAGGCTCCTTGTCCAGCCCCTGAGCACTTTACCTGCCATCAGACGCAATACCTGAGCTCCTAGCATCTTGCCCAGTTCCTGCAGTCTTTACCTGACTCCCCAAGCATACAGTATTACCTGCATCCTGGGCACATTACCTAGCTCCTGGGCACTTTACCTCACCCATGCCCTGCGGCCATGTGAGCGGCTCCTTCTGACAGGACATCATACATTGCCTTGTCAGAAGGAGAAGTGTCCCACCCAGCCGTCAATCTGCTATAGGCCAGGTGAGAAGGTGTTAAATGGCTGCAGCCATGGGCGTAGCATCAGGGGTTGCAGGGGTCACAACTCTGACCCCTGCCCCGCAGCTTCCTTTTCACATGTCACTATGTAACCATAGAGCAGAGTGTGCCTGTGTGAGGACCACAGAGTCACATGAGAAGCTGGTGTGTAAGGAATGTGACAGGATGGAGCAGCTGAATGGAGGAGGTGGGTTATGTGCTAAGGTGAATGATACCTACACAGTGCATAGTAGCGAGTAGACTGTCTAATCCCCAACTACTTCCCACTGCCTTCCAGCCCCATGTCTTCCCTGTCTGTGCCAGTCTGTGAGCAGGTTCCCTCTGAGTTCCTGCTGAGCTCTCCTCACCGCCCTCTTCTTTTGTCCCCCCTTCCTGATCTGCATTCAGTCATGGCAGGGGCCCCGACCAGGGGCACATGCTCTCCAGCTGGAGATGGAACAAGTGACACTAAAGTAAAATGAGTAAAGATCAAAGGGTGAATATTGCTATGAGGCATCTATTTTGCTTTAAAAAATCTTCTGGAATTGTAGTGTGGGTCTGGGCAGCCCCTAGGCTCCTTACCTGCCCCCCTGGCTCCTTGTCCAACCCCTGGGCACTTTACCTGCCATCAGACACAATACCTGAGCTCCTAGCATTTTACCCAGTTCCTGCACTCTTTACTTGACTCTCCAAGCATACAGTATTACCTAGCCCCGGGCTTCTTACCTGCATCCTGGGCACATTACCTAGCTCCGGAGCACTTTACTTCACCCAATACGCAATACTTGGACCCCTGAGCACTTTATGTCAGGCTCCTCACTGTCCCCTGGGCACTTTACCTGCCATCAGACACAATACCTGAGCTCCTAGCATTTTACCCAGTTCCTGCACTCTTTACTTGACTCCCCAAGCATACAGTATTACTTAGCCCTGGGCTTCTTTCCTGCATCCTGGGCACATTACCTAGCTCCTGGGCACTTTACTTTACCCAATACGCAATACTTGGACCCCTGAGCACTATATGTCAGGCTCCTCACTTGTCCCCTGGGCTACTTACCTAGCCCCTGGAAACCTTGCCTGGCCTCATGGGCACCTTACCTAGCTCTTGAGCACTTTGCCTAGCCCTCAAGCTCCTTACCTTGGCCCCTGGGTACACTACCTAGTCCTGGACTCCTTTCCTACCCTTGATCACCTTACCTAACCACTGGGCACCTTAAAGCAGCATTAGACCACAAAACAGGAAGATAGTATATTGCAGGTTACCAGTCCTTTTTGGTGGCTGCATTCCTTTTAATTTTTAGACTTTTTGCTTTTACTTTGACTTGGTGATCCAACCAGTTACACATTTCCTGTCCAGGGTGGCTCCACTCTGGATGGAGGAGCAATAGAGACACCTATGGACAGCATTGTAAGTGTTGGGAGATGGTAATGTTAGACATACTGGCAAATTTTGGATGTTTAGAAATTAAGGCTGAACAGCTAACTCTTTATAAGCAGTTACAATTGTTTTTTTCAACAGGATAAAGGTTTTTCATAAATTAATAAAAGATGATCATTGTAAGCACCCCTGCCAGTGGTAAATTTTTTCCAGTGGATTTTTTTCAACCCTCTAACTGCTACATCTGCAGGAAACCTTGATCTGTTAAAGGAGATCAAAAAACAACAAACTTACTTTCAGAACAACCGGGTGGAACTAAAGGCAAAACAAGACCAAAAAGAAAATGCAGCTGTTGGTAAGAATTGGAAAACTCATAGGCATAGTATCAAGAGTCAAGGGGGTCACAATTGTGACCCTGCCCATGCTCCAGGGGGACCCGTGCAACCTCCCTCTCACATGTCACTTTGTCGCTATAGAGCAGAACGTGTCTGTGTGTGGATGGCGAGGTCACCTAAGAAGATGGTATGTAACAGGACAGATCATTACCCTCCCCTCCACACAGGTGCCAGGTGGGACAGTGCAGCTGAGTGAAGGAGGCGAGTTACATGCTGAGGGGAATGATAATCACACAGTGCACAGTAGCGAGTGGACTATCTCATTCCCGCTGCCTTCCACCCCCATGTCCCTGTCTCTGCCACTCTGTGAGCACGTACGCCCTTCTCCATAGTCTCCTCCCCTCACCTTTCCCTCTGAATTTTGCTGATCTCTCCTAACCTCCCTTTTCTTTTGTTGCCCCCCCTTCCATCTGCAATCAGTCATGGCAGGGGCCCAGCTGGGGGGGTATATGCTCTCCAGCTGCAGTTGGATCAACTGAGTCTATGTAAAAGAGATGGGGATGTGGATGGACTGAGAGCAATCTACAGTTCAGGACTTAGGGTAGGGGGACCTCCAAACATTAGAAGAACCAAAACCCTCCAACTTCCTCCTGCAACAGCTGAAAACCAGATTTTCCTCCCTCTCGCTGGTATTCAGTGGCTGTTAGAGGAAAATAGAGAGGATCAGTTCTTGTATATGCCACCACCCCTCCTGTCTGGGTTACTCTTATTTCTGCTGCCTTTTGTTTGGCAGGGGGGGGGGGGGGGGGGGCTTGAACTCCACTTTAAGGAAGTTTAGATTGAAAAAAAAATAATGATTTGTTTTGTAATTACGCAGAATGAAGTCTGCTGCTTTATTTCGTTTTTTAACTGTCAAAGAACACAAAGCTCTTAAAAGGCCAGACTACCTAAAACTAATTTATCAGTTTTTGGCAAATGATGGAGAGAAAAGTGAAGCGTCTGGTGTTGCCAGAAAGGAAGTGAGTGGGGGCGGGCGGGCGGCGGCTGCGGCTATGGGAACATTTTACATGTTCCACCCTAAAAACGGGTGGAACATGTAACATGTTCCCAAAGGTGGACTTATCCTTTCAAAACTCCTATGTTTGTGCAGTGCATGAATGTACTGTGTTTGCAAGCGATATGTTGTACTTTAATCACTTGCCCTCCAGAGGATTTACCCCCCTTCCTGACCAGGCCTTTTTTTGCTATTCGGCACAGCGCTATTTCAACTGGTAATTGCACGGTCATGCAGTGCTGTACCCATATGAAATTTATGTCCTTTTTTTCACACAAATAGAGATTTCTTTTGGTGGTATTTGATCACCTATGCGCTTTTCATGTTTTGGGCTATAAACAAAAAAAGACCGAAAATGTTGAAGAAAACCCGAAATGTTTTACTTTTGGCTATAAAAAATATATAGTAAACTCGAAGTTAGTCATAAACTTAGGCCAAAATGTATTTTGCTATGTCTTTGGTAAAAAAAAATCAAATAACTGCATATGAATTGGTTTGCGTGTGAAAGTTATAGCATCTACAAACTGTGGTATACTGTAGATACTGGAATTTACACAGCTTTTACTTTCTACCTGCCTATCACATTTCTTGAGGTGCTAAAATACCAGGACAGTACAAATACCCCCAAATGACCCCTTTTCAGAAAGTAGGCACCCTAAGCTATCTGCTGAGAGGCATGCTGAGTCCATGGAAGATTTTTTTTTTTTTTGCACAAGTTTTTTTTTTACACAAAGTTGCCACTTAAATTTTATATTGCTCACACATGCCATGGGTATATGTGGAATTACACCCCAAAATACATTCTGCTACTTCTACCGAGTATGGGGATACCACTTTCGTGAGACTTTTTGGGAGCTTAGCCACATACAGGAGCCCGGAATCTAATGACCACTTTGAAAACCTGAAGGTACATAACTTCCTCATTTCACTTCCTCACTACCTATCACAGTTTCAGAGGCCCAGGAATGCCAGGTTAGCACTAACCCACCCCCTCCTCAAATTACCCCTTTTTGGAAAGAAGACACCCCAAGGAATTTAAAAAGAGGCATGGTATTTTGCAAATCTCATCATCTTTTCTCACAAGGTTTTGAAATATAAAGAAAAAATATGTTTTTGTTTTCTTTCTTCATTTTCCAAAAACTTATGACAACAAACAACATCTGCAAAATACTCACCATGCTTCTTATCAAATTTCTTGGGGTGTCTACTTTCCAAAAAGGGGATATTTGGGGGGTTTGGTGCTATCCTGGCATTTCAGGACCTCCAAAATCATGATAGGTAGTCAGGAAGTGTAATGAGGAAATAAATTTTTGGGGTCATGTACTTGGCTAGACTGCCAAAAATTCTCTCACATGTGGTATCCCCATACTCGAGAGAAGTAGCAGAATGTATTTGGGGAGTAATTCCACATATACCCATGGCATGTGTGAGCAATAAATAATTTAAGTTACAATTTTGTGTGAAAAATGTTTTTATTTTTTTTTACACCAAGTCCCAAACTATCTTGCTACTGCTCCCCATTTAGTCTGGGCATCCGGGGGGCTCCACATGACTATCTTTTCCCTCGTAAATCCGAAACCTTTAAGTATAGCTTGTTGTCCTCTCACAGGTCTTCTACATCTTGACCCCATATCTGGCACACTTGCTGAGGAGAAATTGTTTGAATGCAAGTTGGCCAGAAAAACTAATGAGGGACTAATCAACATAGATGTTTTGCTGGGTAGTGTAGACATCTGCAAATTTTTGGTTGAGCTGATTTACGAGGAGCCGGTCAAATTCAGGGTCACCCCAAGGACAACAGAGTGTATTGTTATTGAAATGCATAAACACATTGTATTCTCATATCTATGCCTGGCCTTGGCAGCAGAGAACATGGGCATATGATGAATCGGGTCTGTGGACCAATACAACCGCAATTCATTTTTTTTAGTAATGCCCATGTTGAGGGTTAGGCCCAAAAAAACTTTAAATTCGGAAACCGTAATAGGTTTCCATGCAAATGGTCTGGCAAGGTTTGAATCTGGGTTGGTGGCGATAAACTGTTGTGCATATAATTTGCTTTGATCCACAATCAATGCATACAGATCTTCCGTGAAAAACAGCTCCAAAAAAATCAAGAGGAGTAGTTAAATTTGCTGTTTCCACCTAAATTCCATGTTGGGCAGTGAATGGGGGAAGAACAGATGCTGCAGAATCCTATGGGCCTGTGTTCGAATTCTTGGTGGCTGCGGGACACTACTTGTGCTAACCACTGCAATAGCTTGTG